ATTGCTTACATGTATTTTTCATTCCTAACATATATATATGTTAGGAATGACCGTTCCGGTCGTTTGGTACTGAGCCCATCGGCGGCGTGTACCCGGTTGGGTCATTTCAGAAAGGCGAACCAACTTAAACCATTCTATTCCTCGCTAGAGAATTTTGGTGGACTGGTGATACCATTGATCAAATTTATTAATTCTCAAATTAGTTACCAATTTGTAATATATGTATCACGTACTCTTATCTGAATAATTCGCTTTCCAAAGATAACTGTGAGGTGAAAAATTCACCCCTCGAACCGTGTGTACAATACTGCACAAATTGCTAACTAATTTGCAAAGTTTGAATTTGATGAACAATAACACATGGTGTGAAATTTAGCTGTCCTACACCTAACACCTAATATAAGTCATGAGTACACCTAATTGAAATATCACTAACTAGGATGAAGCAGCCGTCCGACACTGTTTGGTTCCAGGTGAGTAGGTTTCTTTTCCCTAAAATAACTGATACCTGTCTTCGACAGAATCATTTTGGTGCTTTATCCATAATGATAATAATATTTTCTATATTTGGTTTGTAAGGATTAGTTTTGTTTTTACGAGTTAATCATGGAATGATATCAGTTAGAGAACCATTGAAAACCAGCACTGGACAGCTGTTTCATCCTAGTTTTGGAATCATCGCCAGTACGCATCCACCACAGAAAGTTCGAACACAGGACTTTCCGGTTACAAGACAAGCCCTAATATCATTGGGATCGCGGTAAATCACGAATTGATAGAAGTTAGAATTCATGAGCTGGCCATTGAATCGGGTCCCAGTGACTGAATGGTATACGAGGTTGTCTTGTAACCGGGAGGTCCTGGGTTCGAACCTTCTGTGGTGAGTGTGCATACTGGCGATGATTCCCAAACTAGGATGAAACAGCTGTCCAGTACTCCAGTGCTGGTTTTCAATGGTTCTCTAACTGATATCAATCCGTGATCAGCTCGTAAAAGCAATATTATTATTATTATTATATTCTTTTCTCTTGCATTATAAATTATCCACTATTCAGGTACAATTCAAATGTGTACACCTTTCTACTTATACGATTACAATGATTATTACGATTACTTACCAACTGAACAATTGAATGAATTACTTAAAATTAATGGTAGAAGTATGAATATTTCTTCAACTGATTTAATAACATTACCATCTGATATACAAGATATATTAACAACTTATCAGTCTATTCCACATGCAGTGGAATTTTATACTCGTCTACCAAAAGTTGATATTATCCCACCGAAAATAGTCAATCGTTATCAAATGGAAGAAAAATACAAAGAATTACTTCAACGGAGACGACGTTCTCATTCACTTATTCTAAATTAAAATGAATTTCCAACTTCTCCTTTTTCTCCTTCCTCAAAACTACTACTATATTGTATAGATTGAATTGTAAATAAAAAATGGATAAATAAAACAGTTTTAATGCATATCTCATTTTGAAGACAAACTTTTGTTATCTTGATTTGTGTTTGTAATTCCGGTGGTGTTTGTTTTGTTGCTGTTTGGATTGATCACAGAGTCGCTATGATATATCTCAAGTCTGATCACGAGCTGACATCAGTTAGTAGACAGCCACTGGAAAACTAGAAGACTACTGGACAAAACTGTTTTGTCCTAGTGCCTTGGGACGCTTCAGAGGTGCGCACACACCTACCAGTGTTCGAATCCAGGGGCTTTCGGTTACAAGGTAAGGTGAATATTTGTCCTCAGGCTCTACATGATGGAACCTACTGGTTACGAATTCCTACTAGAACTCCAGACAACTTCATCTTCTGACTAGTCACATTTACAGCTTGCCTTGTAACCGAAAGGTCCTGGGTTTGAACCCTGTTGGATGTGTACTTCTGACGAGACTCGAACGAGGACGAAATAGCTGTGCTCCCTATGTGGTGGTGTGATACAGACAATATGTTCTCACACAGTAAGAATCATTGTATTTGTTGATGCTAACGTCTGAATAATATTCACACAGTTCAACACTGCATTAGCAACAGAATACTATATATGTATTTGAACAATCTATTTCATGTCGTTTAATGTAAACTAAAATGACAAGCTTGGTGATTGGTTAGTGAAACAAATCAAATCCCTACAAACTAACTCTTTAAAACGTCTGTGATATGCTTCACCTGCACAATACCATCAAAATATTTTGCTTTATTTATGTAAGCATGTTTAAGTATTCTTTCTTCAAAGTTCAATGGCGAAACTATCTGAGACAATCTTAGCTTGAAATGAGAAATCTAGGTTGTTGTATAACATTCAAACCAGCGGTCTTGATCAGGTTTGTTAATAGTTCAGTGGAGAGAGTACCGCCGCACTAATAATTCAGTCATCACCACCACCACCCCTTACATGAATGAATAATCGTTTGCCAATGCAAAGTTATCTTAGATGGTCTCGTAGTCAATTCGACTGAATAAAACAAACGCTTAAGTTACGCGCAAAATCCAAAACAAAGCATACAATATGAAAACCTCAAACTGTGAGTGAAGTGAATGCTGTCAAACACACTGTCACTATGCTTAAGAAGAAGTAACAACGGGGCTGTGTCAACAGTGATCCGCGGTCAGTATTAAACAGCCCGCGAATGTTCAGATAAAGAATGAAGGCATTAGAATGTTAGAACAATGTTTGAGAGAGAGTGAAGTAAAGCACGTACAGCAGATATCTTAACACCACAGTGAAGATAATTAGCACAGATGAAATAGAATGAATAGTATTATTATTATTCCTTTGCGTTCCGAGTGGAACATAGAGCTTAAACAACACATCTTCACTTTGTTCTGTTTTCTGCCGTCCTCTTCAGCTGGGTCCACAATTGACCAAACTCTCATCTCTTCTTCATACGATCTCCTCCATGTCACCCTAGGATGACCCACTGGTCGCTTCCCATTTCGACTCCATTCGAGGGCCTGGCGTGCGAGATAAATTTCAATGGAAAACAATAGTTGTGGTAAATAAAATTAACTCGTACTACCTACTATTTTTTTTTCCTTCACGTTCCCCAGTGGAACATAGGGCTTCAAGCTTGTGGCTTGAAGTTTCTGTAGCAGTGCTTATTTTACAGGATGGGGTTGCTAGCCTCATGCCCAACCTTTCCTCTTCACCAACGTTATTTATGGCTTAGCGAGGTAAAGGAGTGCATCGGCCGGGGATCGAACCCCGAACCATGTGCATGGTCGGAGAAAGTCCTAACCACTGTGCCATCGACGCACACTACCTACTAGTAGTAAATATTATTGTAACGACAGGAGACAAGGGTTAGACAACAGATCGTTTATTGAGAAAATCAACAGATGTATACAAATTTTTATGTACATTATTATTCGTTATTTTAGCAGCGAAACAGCGTCTTCTGATTGGTTGTTTCCTCATTGAAAGTTAATCTATCATCTCTTTGTGGCCGCTTCTTCGAAGGTCAGACCACATATCTGCGAATCGTATCCACCCACGCAAAGGCTTTGTTCTTGTTTGTCTCATCACCAAGATTTGGGAAGTAAGCATTGACGTAAATTGCTGTCTACCGATTTTGGCTAGCAGACAGCTCGCACCACAGGATAAAGTTGGGCACAAAGGAAACAGTAACAACAGATAGATAAGAAAGAAATTAACACTAACAGTGTCAATAATCCTCATATAAATGGTATAGCTTATTGTTCCGTGCAAAATCAATGTGTATGATTTTGCGTTTTTATTACTGTCACATTTAATTTTATGATAAAAGAACAAAGTTGATAGTGGATGTTGAAATATACTGCGCATTGATCATTATTGGAAAGTGCGTGAGACCGATTTCAACCTTACTGTTTTTATTCTTTAACACTCCTTTAGGCTACCTTGTAAATCTAAGTCCACTACATAAATTTAAAGAAAATTCATCAGGACTTGTACACGTTAGGATTATGTTTCGATTTAATGAAATTAAGACTTCTCTAATCCTACTGTGCATCACTTCAGTGACTGTTTTCTTCGTTAGTCTTCAGTGATTATAGCACTGGGTGACCCGAGTTCGAATCTCAGAATTTCAGGCTATAGATACACCTTACTGACAAGTGCCAACAAGCACGAAACCTAGGTCGAGCAATAGTTCCCGCCGATCGCCTCCAACCATCTGATAACAACAGTGCACAGTGATGTCGAGCCACCTAGCATGGTATGGTGACCACCACACTGTAAACTGGAATAATAGAATTCAATCTGCACCAACAGCAAGGTCTAGACGCATGACACCAGTATTCAAATCTATATTCCTTATAGACGAATATATTCTTTTTTTCTATAAGTTATTGAAAGAAATTTACACAGTAATTTTATGATTGAATTTCTAATCCTGTTCTCTGCTTTTTTGTCTTCTTGTATTTCAGTTTCGCATATTAGGTAGTCATTTAATTTCTAACGAAGGAAGTTTATTGAAATGTAGACGATTTATATGGTAAGTGTATTGTCTGCATTTTTCTTTATAATGCTATTCCCTTGTTATCTTACCTTTCTCTTACTACATGCTTTGTTTCCATAATAATTTATACCTACTGAATTAATTCTGCGTTTATGGTTCAGTAGTAGAATACTCGCTTGCCAGCTGCACAAGTACGTAGTCCACGGTTCGATCCCATCCCCCAGTCCCGACGCACCCTTAAACCTCGCTTAGTCAACGGTAAGCCCGGTAAGGAATGAAGGTTGGATGTGAGGCTGCAACCCCGCCCCCCCCCCCTAAAAAATAAATAAATAAACACCATTCCTACTGAAACGGAAAAGCTAAAATTTGAAGGCCTATTTTCCAATCATATCAATTGATATGATTATGAACAATAAATTTTGTTCGAAACGTCATCCAGTAAATAATACTGTTTCACTGTGTGTTATATCTAATAAACAAACTAATATGGAATTATTTATTTCGGTTACCGGAAACCATGGGACTGCCACTCGACAGACCACCTGGTAGGTGAGAGTTCAAGTCAGAGACTCGGGGGATGGACCCTTATTAAAATAACCAGCTGCTTGGATCTAGGCTTCCGAGAAGTATCCAAGCCGTTGCATAATCTATTACATTTTATATAATGCATCGTTTGCTGCACATAGCTTATCAAGTTTGTGTTTTAGTAATGATAATCATAATAATACACATCTGCTAAATTGTTAAATGTGCGTCGGTGGCATAGCGGTTAGGACGCTCGCCGACCATGCACATGGTCCGGGGTTCGATCCCCGGAGACGCACTCCTTTACCTCGCTAAGCCAGAAGTAAAAACTGGTAAAGAGAAAAGGTTGGGCATGAGGCTAGCAACCCTATCCTGTAAAATAAACACTGCTACGGAAACTTGAAGCCACTAGCTTGAAGCCCTATGTTCCACTGGGGAACGTGAAGAAAGAAAAAATTGTTAAATACATCCGATTGTTTCTTATCTAATCAATAACCAACTTGTAATACTTTCTTCATTTGTTATGTGGTTGTTTTTGTTTTAACCTTGTATATATAGGACATGTGTAAATGAAGGTCATGGATGCTTAAATTATATCGCTCCACAAACACGTTTACGCGTTGTTGACAATAGTCCCTGGAGTAGTATAGCACCATCAAATATTACAAGTAGTGGTAAAGATCATTCAGGCAAAAAAGTGACACCTAGTGAACAGAAAACATCTAAAATAGTTAAAAATGATAAAGATGTAAGACATTTACTTGCTCTTGGCTCAAAAGCACTTGCCATAAAACCAGCAAAATGTATTCGTGTTTATAATAAAAAGGATAGAGGAAAAATTGGTAAGTTGTAATTTGTATTCTCTTTTTTTTATATTCTCTATTCCTACTCAGTATTGTTTTCAATCATTATTCAAGTAAAATGCTTTATCATGCCTTTTATATCATCATTGCTTTTATTATCAAGCTGTACAATCGTATATTTATACGGTTTTTTTTAAGAAGTTATATCCGGTTGGTGAGGGAATAGAATTAAAGGTGTGAATGCATAAAATATTAATAATAATATTATGAAATGCAATTAAAACTAAAATGTTTGCGATTATAATCATAGTTAAATGTCAAGTGGCAAAACAATTTATGTTCATAGGATGTATAGAACTTGGAAGGGGTGTGCAATTATAGGATTAGTAGACAGATCGAATAAAATAAAAATAAAAACGTTACGTACTATTGTGTGAGATTTGATGACATAGAATTTAATGTTGCAAAGCAGAATTGATTTAGAACGACAAGAGGAACAAATGAAATAATACCGGGAACAGTTCAAAGGGAGAATAGTAATAATAACAATTGACGTAAGAAAAGAAGTGTATACAAATTGAATAGACAAAAATGAAAAAAAATGGTAAAGCCTAAATATGATTAGGGATTACCATATTTTATCAAAGAGGGATTAAAACCATGAAAGTTGGAGGGGTTGAACGAACTTTTTTCTGTATACAGAGATCTGGCTTTTCTATTTTGATAGCCAAAGCTTCAGCAATACAGATGATTCGGTAACGTAGTGAGTTCGGTAAATTACTTTTTGCCTTGTAGATGACTTTGAAGGCGGAGGCTATAGAGATAGGATAATCATTATCGACCAAATGTCCAATGATCGCACTTCTTATTGCTCCGCTTCCACCTTTTCGTAACCATGCAGGATAGTGTTCTTGCACCCTCTTGGACAAAACTCAAGTCGAACGGCCTATATACCTAGCTCTACACGAGCAATTGAATTGATAACTGCACATAGGGTTGGTCAACAGCGGGATCTTGTCCTTCAGGTTATTGATCAGTAATGGTCGGCTGGTAAACGTTATTCTCAAGGATGCAGCAGGCAATGCTCTTTTCAGGGACTGTGATATCCTTCTTTTCATGATATCAGAAGCTAAGTCACCTTTGAATTCCAAGCTCATGTACAGTGTTTTCTTGACATTAATTGTTTTGCCACTTGACATTTAATTATGATTAGAATCACAAATATTTTAATTGCATTTCACACCTATAATTCTCTAACTGGATATAACTTCTTAAAAACCGGATAAATATACGATTGTACAACTTGATAATAAATTATTTGAAGAGTCTCTTCGCTGAATCAGTTGTTTTGATTTTCTATGTGTTACATTGGGAATTTTCCATGAATCATTGCCTTTATGTGTTGTTAGCATTTGAAGTTGAATCATGAAAAACAAATGTCTCACAGAGAGTAGATAAACTCTATCAATGCAACACTAACTTGTTACTGTCCTGCTTACCTCCTCCCCCGCACACACTGACACACACCTTACATCTCCACAGGAATTGCAAGAGAGAAAAAAGTAGTTTGAAGCTAAAATCACCAATAGTCGGCAGTTATGTTTGGCACCGTAGTCAGGCAAACTGTGCGTTAGCAGTCAGAACGACTACTTTAACCATGCTTTGACTAATCCAGGCTTTCTTTGAACTAATACCTCCTCACTTGATAAAACACTGGAATTGATATATGTATTCAGTGGTCATTTATGGATAATTATGCTTTTGAATATCATAGTTACTCTTAAGGCTTACTGCCTAGTCATTAATACTTCATTAGAATAATGTGATAGTCGCAGTGTCGAACAACTATTGACGATGTTGATTGGTCACTTAGACGTTACCATTAGTATGATTCCTAATTCTTATCTCTGACTGAAGTTTATCATTTAAGTTTCAAATGCTATCATCCAAACAGGGAACTTATTATCGCCGCTTAATTTGGACTAGTGTTTGGTGACAGTAGGTAAGATGCCGTCGACTTAAGTTTCCTGCTTATTAACAACCACAGCGTCAATGATGAGTCCGAATAGTTCAGTATCAGTGTTTATGCCTATTATTATATTTATATTATTGTTTCCTTTAATTCCTAGAGGAACATAGGGCTTCAGCCGTGCGTCTCCATTGCGTTCGGTTCTCTGCTAGAGTCTTCACCTGGCTCCAAGTCTGCCCACACGTTTTCATCTCCTCTTCACATTACCTCCTCCAAGTCACCCTCGCACTGACGACCAACTCGCTGCTTCCCTTTCGGGTTCCACTCGAGCAATGGCTTGTCTAGTGATGTCACTTGATGGTTTCCTGAGAGTATGGCCAATCCATCTCCATTTCTTCCTGCCTATTTGTTTCACAATCGGTTCCTGCTGAGTTGGTTCGCTCATTGCCAGAGATCTCTGTTGCTGATCTTTTCTGGCCAGCCATCTGACCTTGAGTATTGAGCGAAGACAACTGTTAATGAAGGTCTGTAGTTTGTTTGAGATGCTCTTTATGACGCGCAGTGCAAGTCTCTGATCCGTATAGTGAGTAGCACTGACTTCACATTGGAGTTGAAAATCCGGATCTTATTTTTGATTGCTGTTGACCTCCACACAGGCTTGAGAGTAGTGAAAGCTTGTCTTGCTTTTCCGATTCTTGCTTTGATATCCTCGTCAGTTCCGTCCAGCTGTAGTTGAAACGATGCTTCCCAGGTAGGTAAAAGAGGTTGTTTCTTTCAGGTTTCTTCCATTTATGCTGATTGTTGTCTGTTGTTGTTGCTGTTGGTGGTGTTGCCCATGAATCTTCATCACCTCTGTCTTCTCTATGTTCACCTGAAGTCCTATCTTCTCTGGATGCTTCTTCTGCCAACTTGTTGCTTTTCACTTGCATATCTTCCAGTTTGTGGGAAATCAGACATATATCACATCGGCAAAGTCCAGATCCTCCAAGTTTTTCGTGTGAGTCCATTTTATGCCTGTTTCCTCATTGACCGCTGTTTGTCGCATTATCCAGTCTACTGCAATCAGGAAAATCATTGGCGATAGTAGGTAGCCAGCTTGTCATACTCCCATCTTCACTTCGAAGGATTCCGTGAGTTTCCCGTTGTGGATTGCTTGGCATGCAGCATTGTCGTACAGCTGTTGGATGAGATGTATAATTGTCGGTGGCACCCCGTAGTAGCGAAGTAGTTGCCAAATCACCTCTCAATCGACGCTGTCGAAGGCCTTTTCAAAGTCGATGAAGTTGAGATAGAGAGGTGACTGCCATTCCAAGCTTTGTTCAATGATGATCCGTAATGTGACGATCTGATCAATGCATGACTTGTTTCTCCAGAATCCAGCCTATTCCGGTCGAAGTTTTTCATCCATGGCATGTTTGATTCTCTCCAGGATGATGCGGCTGTTTATACTTATGGCATTGGATTATACAGGTTTGAATCTGACAGGGGCATGATCTCCTTCAAGGCTGTAGATAATACGCTGTGATGGCGAATGCCAACAAGCACGAAACTTAGATTCAAGCCTTCCTGTTGACTGTCTTCAGCAGCCATATTCTTTCAACATGATTTTCATAAGTATCCAGTAAACTGTATTTCGTTTGCCTTAGTGTTTGTAAAATCCATGAAATAAGAATCACTTTTTTTCTTATTTAAATTGTTTAATTTTTATCTAATTTAGGTGACAAAGTACTAGTCGCCGTTAATGGAGAAATGAAGAAAGGTTGGATTGTTGGTTGCCGATTACCATCTCAAAATGGTTGGCCACGGTTTGAGTCAAATAATATTGTTCTGGTTGATGATGATGGCAATCCTTTAGGCACACGTATACTTGTACCAATACCTGCACGTTTACGAAGTTTATCAGGAGATATAACAAAAATTTTGTCAATAGCCAGTTCATTTGTATAAAAAAAAGTATATAAATTATATCTAGTTAATTTTGTCTTTGATACCATTATTTTTTTTGATCTAGAATATTCTAGAATTGTTAGGAATGTGATCTAGTTTAGATGAGCAGTTAGTTTTATCTAGATTTTCATTATCTTCAAAAGGCGAATATACTACTCCATGCAGTCAGCTTATTCTTGGTATGTTAAAATCTTCAATCGTTTACACTAAGTGCAATCCTTCTCTATTCTGAAGACGTCTTGGATGGTACAATTTTTTGAATGTCTCTTCACAAATCAGTATTATTGTTATTTCTATGAATTCTCAATTCTCTGAGACAAATAATGTTTCATACATTTCACACACTTGATGAATATGTATTAAGATTTCTTATCTCACAGTTCCTCGGTGTCCAAGTGTTTAAAATACCTACAACGAATTTATATTCAGAAATTAGCCTGCTACCTCTTCAACTCTGTGAACGATTGATTTGGTTACATTTTTGTAATGTCAACAGTCCTCATCTTTGTAATTAAGAAAATTTCGTACTCCATCTGGGGATGGTGCCTAAGGGATTACATTAAATCTGAAATATAAGCAAATTGCTAGAAAACATTTTTTTTCAACATTTTACCTACTAATCTAAATCATTTATGCGTAGTTATAGTGTGACAACAGAAGACAAGGGCCAGGCAACAGATCGTTTATTTAGGAAATCAACACATATTTATATATTTTCATGTACATTATTATAGATTATTGTAAGCAAACAAACACAGTCTTCTGATTGGTTGTTTCTCACTGAAAGTTAATCTTTCACCTCTTTGCGGCTGTTTCTTGAATGTCAGATCATCTATATGCTAACTGTATCCGCCTACGCAAAGTCTCCTGTGGTTGGTTGTCGATTCAGTCTTTGTTCATATTTTTCTCACGACCAATATTGGGGACGTAAACATTGACGTAAATTGCTGTCTGCCAATTTGGCTAGCAGCCAGCTCTCACCACAACAGTACGTCCTTTATTCATTGACTGACTGGTTTCAACATAGAACTTTGCACCGATGTGCAGCACTCCGAGTCACCACACTTCACTCAGCATACAAAGCCAGAGAAGAAAGTAAAAAGAAATTCCAAATAGAGACAGTGAAGAGAGGTATGAGTAAAAAAGAATGATAATGTCGAAGAACAATATAGTTTTATTGGAAATTATAAGTTACAAGAAGTGTGTGGCAGACTTATGTTAGAGTTCACTAGTATTACAAAATATGAGAAATAAAATTCAAGTCAATGGAATGTTAAGTAACAGTATATTACCAAAAATGCAACGACACGTTATATCAACAAAAGGGTTACTTGGAAATAAAGTTGAAGTCCTCTGCTACAAATTATTTATATAACCCACGGAGACGTTAATTGTTTGGACGGAGTAGGTTGTAGCTGCTGTTTCCCGGTTGTAGAATTGTCTTCGGTTGAGCGTAGTGGACTTCTACAATAAATCCGAAAGATAACACGGTGAGAGCTGAGCTAGTAAGCCGAAGAAACCAAGGAGAAGACGAAGTCTCCAACAGCAGATTGTATTTTCCAATCGTACACGGAAGACAAGTGTATTTCAACAGGAGCGTTTTAAACAAAAATTATGTACAATATGTCTAATTTCTACAAATAACCAAAAAGTGTACAATCACATTGTTACGCACTCCACAAGTGGATGCATCTGCGCAAGCCATTGAGAACGATTTTGAGCTGTATCACCAATTGTCTCCAGCTGTTGGTGTTTACCATCCCTTTATTCATTTTATGATGAATACTTATCCATTTTATTACAAAGCATGCTTATAATAAAACAACTCCCAGAGTATTTGCTTTGCAAATACTAGTAGCTAGAGGTTTTAGGGATTGAAGGTATCGAACGTTCGCGAGTTGTACGGATTATACTAACGCAAGATCTTATACCAACAACCACTATAGTGTTCGTTCTTCGAGTACCAAATGGTAAAGCAAAAGACCAGATTTTGTCGTCCAAATACGATATATATTTTGGGACCAAATCGCGGGTAGGAATGAATGCTTAGCTAGCTAGTAATCGTGCACGCACGTGACACGACGAAGCACCAAATGGCGGGGATGCTTGACCGTAAGCCTTCAGCTAAACAAGTCGACTTAAACAGTGATGGTCAGCATCCAATGTTGAGTGATGATTGCTGTGGTTAATAATTTTGGGGAATTATTTACCGCTACAGCTCACTCCCCCCCCTAGTGGGGTTGTGAGGACCCTAAGACATGACCAGCCGGAAGTAAAAAAATCTCGATGGTTCCCTGATGGGTGAAAAAAATCTTCCGAGCGGCTTGATCGAGAGCCTGCTGGTCTGTCTGCCTATGCTAATAGGGTGTCTGTACATAGCTTCCTCAGAGTTGTTCGTTGGATCCCGTGCTTCGTTTGTTTCCTGTCCAGTGCCCGTTGCACCTGGAAAAGAAAACAAGAATGCTGAGAACCTTGTCAAGAAAAATGTACCAAATAAGCGTTTTTTTTTACCAAAAAGAAAATGACATGCATCTACTATACAGTAAAATAATATAAAGTGCAAAATATCGGGAAAAAAAAATATACATCTAATTTAATTTAATGTACGGTTATAGGAAAAATATCATTTACTTGTGTTAAATGACGCAACATAAAAAAAAATTGATGTGTCACTCAGTTATGTGAGATAGGTGTGAAGGTATTCTGGGAATCTAACGTGACGTCCAGAACGCGTTTTTTTAGAGTGATCGATCGAAGGTTCAGTGGCTTTCGCCGTGCTAGGGAGTTCTTCGAAGACTGAAGTAGATTCAATTACTTGTGAATTATCGGGTACGTTTAGCTCCAGGCTAATGGGGTTACCTTCCAAGTAAGCTGGTTTCAGACGGTCAATACTGACGGTGTCTTCGCGGCCTTTTTTGTCTAAAACGAAGAATTTATCAGTACGTTTAATCACTTTATATGGTCCGTCATACGGGGGTTCTAGAGGACGACGTACCGAGTCGCGACGAACAAATACATGTGAAGAAGTTTTTAAACAAGGGTGAACGAAAATATCAATGGACTGTGGTCGGAGGGGAGCAGGTTTAACTGAACGCATAGCGTTTGTAAGCCTGCTGACGTATGAGGAGTGATCTACTACTGGTGGGAAGCTCGAGGGAGAAACAAACTCACCTGGCAGTCGTAGTGTTGTGCCATATACTAGCTCAGAGGTAGTACAACCAGCATCGGTTTTTAAGGCGTTTCGTATCCCTAGGAGAACTAACGGAAGGGATTCAGTCCAATGGGTGTTATTTGCAGCGGATAAACCAGCTTTCAACTGTCTGTGTAGACGTTCTACCATACCATTCGCTTGAGGATGGTAGGCTGTCGTTCGAAAACGCATGCAACCAAGGATTTTAGTCAAAGCGAAGAATAAACCGCTTTCGAATTGCCGCCCACGATCAGTTGTTATGGAAGATGGGCATCCAAAGTTTGCGATCCATCTCTCTACAAAGACGCGTGCGACAGTTTCAGCAGATATATCCTTGATGGGTACTGCTTCAGGCCATCGTGTGAAGCGATCGATGCAGGTTAACATATAGGTGTATCCATGAGATTCTGGAAGGGGGCCAACTAAATCTATATGGACGTGTTCGAAACGGGCATCAGGGATAAGAAAAGTGCCAAGGGGGCTTTTAGTGTGTCGTATTACCTTGCACTTTTGGCAAGCTAAACACGTCTGTGCCCATTCCCTTACTTCTTTGTTAATACCAGGCCAGCAAAACCTACTAGTTACGAGTTTGACAGTAGTTCGAATACCTGGATGGGATAATCCATGCAACGTATTGAAGACGTTACGGCGATAACTTTTAGGCACGATGGGGCGAGGAGTACTAGTGGAAATGTCACACAGAATAGTATCCTTTCCTATACCTAAGGGTTTCTTGGCTAGTTGTAAAGTTGTTTTCGACAACTCACGCTGAAGCTCAATATCTTCTTTTTGAAGACGAGCCAGTTTTACAAGGTCTATGCCATCGATTTGGGTGAAAGAACAAATACGTGACAAGGCATCTGCCACAGTGTTGTTCACTCCGGAAACATGGCGAATATCTGATGAAAACTGTGAAACATAATCTAGTTGTCGCGATTCCCTGGGTGAATACTTATCTGAAGTTGAGTTCAGAGAGTACGTCAGAGGTTTGTGGTCAGTGAAAATGGTGAATTCACGACCCTCAACTGAATGTCGAAAATGACGTATAGCACAGTACATAGCTAGAAGTTCCCTTCCGAATGTGCTGTACTTCGTTTCAGTTACTTGAAGGCGCCTCGAGAAAAAGGCGAGTGGTTGCCACTCGTTGTTAACTAGTTGTTGCAGAACTGCGCCGATTGCAGTGTCTGATGCATCAACCGAGATACTCAACGGTGCCGTTGGATCCTGATACATAAGAAGTGTGGCATCCGCAATAGCTTTCTTTACCTGAGTAAAAGCATGTCGAGCAGACGTGTCGAGTTCGATAGCCTTGTTGTTCCCTCGAAGGAGATCGGTTAATGGCTGAATTAGAGAAGCACAATTAGGAATAAAACGTCGGTAATAACTTACCAAGCCGTTAAAAGTGCGAAGGCATTTTACTGTCTTTGGCTCCGGAAAGTTCAGTATTGCTTCGACTTTAGTAGCCAGTGGGCGAATACCCTGGCAGTCAATAGTGTGACCCAGAAAATCGAGTGAGCCAACGCCTATTTGACACTTCTGTATATTGATGGTAACACCATGTTGGTGTAACCTTTCAAATGCCAAGTCCAAGTGTCTAAGGTGAGTTTCCTTATCTGGACTGGCAATGAGGCAGTCGTCTAAGTATGCGTATACAAAGTCGAGACCGCGAAATACTTCGTTTATGAAGCGTTGGAATGTTTGGGCCGCATTCCGGAGGCCGAATGGCATACGTAGAAATTCGAAAAGTCCGAAAGGCGTGATGATAGCCGTTTTCGGAATATCTTCCGTTGCCATGGGGATTCGGTTATATGCTTTAACCAAGTCGATTTTGGAGAATATAGATGCTCCAGATAACGTTGCCGTCAAGTCGTGTATGTGAGGCAAAGGGTAGCAATCAGGGGTTGTTTTGGCGTTCACTCGCCGGTAATCACCAGTGGGTCGCCAATCGTTGCTATCCTTTTTCGGTACCATATGCAACGGGGATGCCCATGGACTATTCGATGGTCGAATGATGCCAAGGGTGAGCATATGATCGAATTCGTTTCTGGCAATTCTCAGTTTATCAGGGGCCAGTCGTCGTGCTTTAGATGTCACGGGCTGTCCTGAGGTTATGATGTGGTGCATAACATTGCTGGTTATACACGGGAGGTCGTTAGATGGGCAATTGAGTTCCGGATATTTGTCAACAATCGGTTGAAAAGTTGGATCGAGGATTGCTTTCATCTTAACGATTGACAAGCTGGGG